AGAAATAAAAATTAAGCAAAATATACGGTCTCTTAGGATTATGTCCCTAAACTTTATTAGACTAAAAAAATCCACTTAATCTAGATAATAAATAAAAGCCGAATGATGAAAACTGTTGCTCCATTTCAAATTTCCTGCAACGAGAGTGATTATAGGAAGGACATTTTGGTCTTCACAATTGCTTATTTTCTTATTTATTTATTCATAAAAAAGTCATGCACTGGGATTTGAACCTTGGTCTCTTTAAAGACAAGCAAGGATCATGACCAATCACACTAAGTATATTTGTTGTATCTATTTAAATTCAAACATACACGAACCTAAATTATGAAAATCATATGACTTTTTTAACGATTAGTTGGCCACTAAATCTCCCGTAAGTACTTATTTGGTGTTTTAATACTTTGATTATTTTAGTTGTAGTTTAATACTTAATTTAAATTTCTATCTATTTTATAAATATACAATAACCCTAAAATTGCAGCCCAAATATCACTGGTTCGAATATTGCATATCGAATTGCAATATTAAACATGTAGAAACAATATCGACTTCTTAAATTAATATTATTTTTCAGAATTACTATGGAGAAATTATATCTTTGTGCAAACTATATGAGACTGGTTCTTTTAATGTTTTAGTCGGGATAACCGCTACATTTTAAACTTCTTCATAATCTGGCATGATTGGATCCAATGATCATTATACAAGATTGTGTTTAATAGGGTGGCTCATTTCACCACTTTTTGGCGTGTTAATGAATTTGTAGGACAATGACAGGTCTACATCTACACGCATCACAATCTACACATCATATAAATGTGAAATGAGAAAAGAGGGATTCCATTTCAAATTTGATGCGTACAGAGCAATTTTTTAGGGGTAAATTTAGAAGATGCCAGTGCGGTCGGTCTGTTGAGCACGAAAGTAAAAATATGTTTTCATTTAAACGGGCCCAAACTGTTATTTGGCCCACTAATCGTGCACCCATCGCCAATGCAGTCAAATTCGGGATTTTGATCGTAAAATCGTAGGATTTTAGGATTTTACTTAGGGATTCCGATCTTGATTTTACTATAAAATCGGTGGACCTTAAAATCGTTTAAAATCGGGATTTTGATCGTAAGAGAACAAAATAGGTGGTTTGAGCCAATTTAAAATAAGTATAACTGTTTCAGCAGAAAGGGCAATGGAATCTTCTCAGATATTTTTCTATTAGAAAAATATTCAAAAATAATAAAAATAACCAAATTAGGGTTCGGTTAATCTCTTTCCCTTCACCCCATTTAACTTATTGGTAAAACACATGTCCTAATATTGGAAGTATGTAAGAACTAACATCATTATTAACTAATTAATTTATTAATGAATATATTTGTACCAAGCCACTAACATTACTTATTTTATTGGAGTTCAATTATTTTTAGTTTTAAATCATACTTAGTAGACGATGTCGAAATATTACTTTGAGTTAAACAACCTAGACATAACATGAAAATAAGAGCCAAACCCATGAACTATATCCCTTCATCATGAATTATTTTGAGTTACACATTAAATAATAATTAAAATAGTGATTTTGGAACATTAATCTTGAGAATTATCTTATGGAAAAAAATCTTCTGAATTATCATTTTAAATGCTATGTGTCTTTGTGATATTAATAATTTACTTTATTAATATTCTTATATGCTATGTTCTATATGGTACTTAAAATCCTACGATTTTACGATTCGATTATACGATTTTGATTTTACCCCAGTTTTCGATTTTAGGTAAAATCTCGATTTTAACTGCTTTGCCCATCGCAGCCTCTCCAAATCTTCCTATTCTACTCGCCGGGTCATCTCCTCCACTACAAAATATCTCCTCATGTACTCAAAGTTCTCACTGAAACCTAATATCTACAACTTAGGCGCAGAGGGAGCAACCGATGGATTGTAGCGACCCCCACTATTTTGATAGCTAATCAAGAAGAGCGCGTTTGTTTAGTTGTATGGTGATTCACTTAATTAACAATTTTTATTCCATTGACAGCCTCCTCTCCGCAATTGTATTGTGTTCATGAAGATCTGAAGGCGCAAGTGCAACAGGTCCAGGGGTAAACAATATGTATAAAGCGTTGGCCAAATTGAATTGAGTCATTCTACTTGGAATATGAAGATTTTTGCTTAATTGCTTTGGTTCGTGATGCAACTATGTTATGTTTGAAGGTAAACCAACGCAAACAACAGCACAGCTCCAGGGCTATTCTGCACATTAGGTAGTTGGAGCATTAATTGATAATTATTTGGGATTATTCCTACAAGTACATAATTTGGAACGTGCCTTTATATTGCATTGATTAATAGTTGTTTGAGATTTTTCAAATGAGTGATTTGACATGTTAAACTCTCTTATTTTTGAAAATGGAGTCTTCGAAGTGGAATATGAAGATTTTGGATTAAGCTTGGTTTCGTAACGCCCTTATGGGTGTTTATTCTCTAAAATGCAGCTGTCTTTCAAAGTGCCCGTTGCAAATGGCAAGTCAGGATACACCGATGGTACCGGTACACGTTTATATCATTAGTAGGTAGCAGATTGTGTCCATTCTACTATATCATTTAGCTAAATACTTAGTTGTTCTTTTCAACTAAAAATTATGCTTAAATGCTGTGATTGGCCTCAGAAATGTATGTCTTTGCATTAACTGTTAATGATTGTGAGTTTTGGTTTAATGGTGAAAAGTCCATTTATTTAGAAGTCTAAATTGGGCAAACCTACTGGACAATAGGAATGCCATACATTAGTGTCGTGGGAGGTTTGTTTGATGTCTCAAGGTGTTAGATTTTTAAGAAGGTTGTTTGTTGTGGCAGAGAGTCCCTAAAGCTAGCGAGGTATTCCTATGTGGGCTTTTTCTTTGTTTGACTTTTTCTCGCCTTTTTTCTTATCTCTTTTTCTATTTTTGATTTTTGTGTGCTACCTTCAGTTGCTACGTCTTCATTTGTGAGCCATCTATACTTTTCTTATTCAGTGCCTAAAAATCATATATACTCGATTGCATAGTAGTTACTAATAGATACATTAATAGAGAGATTTTAAGTTTTATCAGTTGTTAGTTTTAATATTTACTTACATTGGTTGTTTATGTAGTTTTCTTTGTAATATTTCTCATTATACAACTAATTACTATGGCTACGTAGTTGTATAAGTGGGGGTTGGACATGATAGTTCTTAGAAGCATCAATACTTGAAGGTTATTATAATGACCAAATTCTAAAGTTATGGTTTGCCTTCAACTTGCTTGGAGCATTTCAATTATGCATCAATTGTTCTCTCCGTGTAGTTAACTCTCAGACAAATCAAAAATCTTGCTGATATGTGCTTGATTGTAGTTAAATTTAGGGTTCTACTGCATTGTTGCTTTACTCTTTTTTCGTGGTTGAGTCTGCTTCAAAAAATTTAGTTTGATTTTAGAAAATTTTGCTTCTGCAGTCCTATCTTGCCACCAACGCGTTCAATAGATGGAGACGGGAGAGGCGAAGGCTATTTTTGTGTTGTTGTTGCTGGTTTATGGATCGGTTTGTGAAGAAGAGGGAGAAGAGAGGGGGAAAGGGAAATGCAGGAGAGGGGGATAACTCTTTTCTCCGACAAAAATGGAGTGAAGAAAGGAATTATGATCAGTAAGAATATGGTTATCTTACATAACGGTCTCTATTCTGTTTGAATTGAGCTTGAGAGGCAGTGATAAGGACGAGCTGCAACCAATTCATAGTGAGAAGAGAGCTATGAACTGTGATCATGTCTTATTTCAAGTTAGAAGGTAGTTTCAGTATAAGGATTATTTAATTTGACAAGTTGTTCCGTCCATGATTCTTGGTAGTTTCAGTGCCATTCTAGCCAATGTTTAGTCTGTAATTTTTGAGAATTGATGTGCGAGTAATGACTTTCACTTAGCTTCAATGATTATGTGTGTATTTATTGGCATGTGATAGAATTCTCTTTTCCTTTTCATTGTATTCATTTTCATACTCTAATTGTATTATTTGTACATAGGCAAATCATGCTCGAGATGGCAACTCGCTGATATGGCTGGTGCAAGGAATGGAGCCGTCATTAGAATTCAGACCGACAACGGGGAGGGATGCCCAGGACTAATTCAATGATGATTGATGATGGTATAATAAAAACTGCAGTCTGCATCAGCACCAATTTCTAGGCCTAAGTAAAGGTATTCAACCCAGAACTCTGCTTAGCGCTAAAAATTGCCCTCACCCAACCTTGATCCTGTTTGACCCACTTCTGAAGAGTCAAGATATATGACTAATCCTCCCCGTTCGTATTTTCTTAATGACTCTTTCTGACCCTGTAGGTTGGGGTGGGTCGGGAAGAATTGGATTAGTGGGTCGGTCCTAATCAAGTGGAATCTCAATCCCTTCACTCTCACTTGCTTTCTCTCCCATTCCACAAGTGGATAACATACAGTAATCCGGCCAACGGACCGGGTAATAAGCTAGTGAAATAATAAGCCCTAAACCTTTTATAAATCAATTTTCTCTTAACACATAATTGATCATTTAGACCGACGATGACCGCTGAAGATTGAAAGCTTTCATGAATTATATTATTGGACTCGATGTACCCTCTTTCCCTTATTAAAAGAAGTTTTGGGACAAAAGAGAATGAACAAAAGCAAACAAAACCAGAGTTGGACGAGTAAAGAAAGTTGCCAACCTTTTATCATGCTTTGTCGGCCATCTTTTCACCATGCTCCACGCTGACAAACACAGAAACCCACGACTATTATAAAACAGAAGATAGAGTAAGCAAGACTACAGTAGCGTATGTAATAATGGAATCACTCGGGATCCTTCAAGTGCCGATGTAAAAAAGAAATGTAAATATATTTGTATAATGATCCCATCAAAATCGAATATTGGAAACGGGGAATGGAAGGAGGCTGGTTGGATTGTGAATAGTACGTAATCCTTCTCCGTCCAGGAAAAGTGGGATTGCCCTTTAATCATTTCGCAGAGGACTCAACAAAAAAGCTAACAACATGGACGAAGCTGCTTTCTTTTGTTTATCTTCTTCGTCCTAATCAAGTCAAAGGTGGATAAAATTATACATCCCAGTCACCGGTTCGTTGCATATTGGCCAAGAATAGTGCACAGGCAAATTCAAAATGTGCTGGTGTTGTTCCATCCCAGCTCCACCTACAACTACAAGAAGAAGACCCACCAAACATCAATTATTTCCCACTCCTCCCTTTCAGATATACCCATCACGTTTTTCTGGGTTGCCAGCTCAAGCTCCTCCATTTGTGGCCTTCCTTCCTCCCTCCCTTCGTCAGAGGTACTTTGATTCTTGTTGATTCAATAGCTTCATTTTACAGTAAGCAATAAGGTGGTTAGTTTCTAAAGCATTGATCTTTTTATTTTCTTTCTTTCTTTCATCAGCTGGGTTTTGTTACTAAAACTTGATGACTGCTGAATTCTGCTGTTGAACTATGGAGGGGAGGAAGGAAGAATCACATTCACATGGGTTTTCTCCGGCGTTAATTAGGGTTCTTCTTCTTATTCTCATGCTTGAATCTTTACCAGTTCAGCCATCCATGGGGTTGAATTCAGAGGGTCGGTATCTTCTTGCCTTGAAGAGCAGCTTCGTTGACCCTTCTAATGCACTGCACAGTTGGAATCCTAGCGACGCAAACCCATGTGATTGGAAAGGTGTGAATTGCACCGTAGCCGATTATTATAGTTATGCAGCTGATCCTCCAGTAGTTTGGTACCTTAATTTGAGTCATTTCAATCTCTCTGGTTCTCTATCTTCGGCCATAGGTGGGTTGGTTCATTTGACTCATCTTGATCTGTCTTTCAATTCCATTTCCTCAATGTTGCCATCTGGAATTGCAAACTGTTCCGAGTTGGAGACTCTTCTCTTGCAGAACAACCAATTCCAAGGGCCGTTTCCTCTAGAGTTGGGCAACCTTTCTCAATTAGTCACTTTGAACATCTCAAACAATAGATTCTCAGGTCCTTTCCCTGACGAGATTGGCAACCTTTCTTCACTGTCACAACTCATTGCATTTAGTAATAACATCAGTGGGGGGTTGCCGCGGTCCTTGGGGAGGCTGAAGAATTTGACAGTTTTTAGAGCTGGCCAGAATTTGATATCAGGGAGTTTGCCTGTTGAGATTGGTGAGTGTGAGAGCTTGGAAGTTCTGGGACTTGCTCAGAATCAGTTGAGTGGCGAAATACCAAGAGAGGTTGGAAGGCTCAAGGGTTTGACTGATTTGGTTCTCTGGAGCAATGAGCTTTCTGGAACCATCCCAAAGGAGTTGGGGAATTGTACTAGTTTACTCATACTTGCCCTTTATGATAACTCCCTTGTGGGTTACATACCTAAGCAACTTGGTGACCTTGTTTCTCTAAAGAAGTTATATCTCTACAGAAACCACTTGAATGGGACAATTCCAAAAGAGATTGGAAACCTTTCTTCCGCCTTGGAGATCGATTTCTCTGAGAACATGTTGACTGGAGAGGTCCCAACTGAGTTGGGGCAGATAAGTGGTCTTAAATTGCTATATCTGTTTGAGAACCAGCTTACCGGTGTAATTCCTGGTGAGCTCACTTCACTGAAGAACTTGACAAGGCTTGATCTCTCGATCAACAATCTAACTGGTGCAATTCCTGTTGGGTTTCAGTACATGAAACAGCTGGTTCAGTTGCAGCTCTTCAATAACTCATTGAGTGGCACTATTCCTCAAGGACTTGGAGTTTGTAGCTCTCTCTGGGTGGTTGATCTATCCAACAATCATCTCACTGGAAGAATCCCTAGGTATTTGTGTCAGAATTCCAATTTGATTTTGCTTAACTTGGGGTCAAACAGCCTGACCGGTTATATTCCAACGGGTGTGAAAAGTTGCAGCACTTTGGTTCAGCTCCATCTTGCAGGAAATGCCCTTTTGGGACCTTTCCCTTCTGATTTGTGCAAATTGGAGAATCTCTCCAGCCTTGAATTGGGTCAGAACAACTTTTCAGGTCCAATCCCTCCCAAGATTGGTGACTGCCGTCTTCTGCAAAGGCTGCATCTCTCAGGCAACCATTTTACTGGTTACTTGCCTAAGGAGATTGGTAAACTCTCTCAGTTGGTGAGTTTTAACATCTCTTCCAACATGCTTAGTGGGTTGATATCTCCTGAGATCTTCAACTGCGCATTGCTCCAACGCCTTGACCTCAGTCGGAACAACTTTTTCGGGTTATTGCCTAGTGAAGTTGGCAGCCTTTCCCAACTGGAGCTACTCAAGCTTTCGGATAACCACCTCTCTGGGTCTATACCAGCAGAGTTAGGAAAGCTTGGCCACTTGACCGAGCTACAAATGGGGGGTAACTCGTTTTCTGGTTCAATACCTCCTGAGATTGGTGAGCTTTCGAGCTTACAGATTGCGCTGAACTTGAGTTACAACAATCTTTCAGGTCTAATCCCTTCAGAACTAGGGGAGCTTGTTTTGCTTGAGTATTTGCTTCTCAACAATAACCATTTGAGTGGAGAAATCCCGGTTTCCATAGGGAAGTTAATGAGCTTGCTTGCTTTCAACTTGTCTTACAATGACTTGACAGGGCCTTTGCCATCATTGAGCCTCTTCCAAAATGCAGGCATCAGTAGCCTTTATGGGAATAGAGGGCTCTGTGGTGGTGGACCCTTTGGCAGCTGTAATCAAACTCCATCCTTGCAGTCTCCAGCTGAAGGCACAAATAACCGAGCCAGCCGTTTAGGGAAAATTGTAGCTATAGCTTCAGCTGTCATTGGAGGGATCTCTCTCGTTCTCATTTTAGTCATTATCTATGTCATGAGAAGGCCAGTCGAAGTGGTTGCTCCTTTGCAAGAGCAACCAGTTGGTCCTTCTCCAGCTTCAGATATTTACTTCTCTCCCAAGGAAGGTTTCACTTTCCAGGAGCTGGTTCTGGCAACAGATAACTTTGATGACAGATTTGTGATTGGAAAGGGAGGTTGTGGGACTGTGTATAAGGCAGTCCTGACAAATGGGCACTGTATTGCTGTCAAGAGGTTGGCTTCTAGTGGAGAGGGAAGCAACATTGACAACAGCTTCAGAGCCGAGATTTTAACACTTGGCAATATCAGGCACAGGAACATTGTGAAGTTGTATGGTTTCTGCTACCACCAGGGCGCCAATCTGCTGTTGTATGAATACATGGCGAAGGGTAGCTTGGGAGAGTTGCTTCATGGAACAAGTTGTTTGGATTGGAGGACAAGGTTCAGGGTTGCCCTAGGAGCTGCCCAGGGTCTTGCTTACTTGCACCATGACTGTAAACCCAGGATATTTCATCGCGACATAAAGTCCAACAATATCTTGCTCGATGACAAGTTCGAGGCCCACGTCGGGGATTTTGGCCTTGCAAAAGTGATTGATATGCCTCAGGCTAAATCCATGTCTGCAGTTGCTGGCTCTTACGGCTACATTGCCCCTGGTAAGCTTGGTGTCTCTCAGTTTGCTTATATGCACAGTTTTCTTCCTGGTTCCGCAATCTTAACACATTATCTTTTTCGTGTTTTATAAAATCTTTTTCTATTTGCCCCTTTTCATCAATACTTTACACAGATGATTGGAGTTATTCTTCATGGATCCAACAATATTCATTTCGATAGGTCTTGGGCGTGTTCTTGTCGATCTTATATGTGAATAACGACATCTATGGTATACATAACGATTAGTTGGAATGATGATCCAGACACTGAAAGCCGTTACTGCTTTGCAGAATATGCATACACCATGAAAGTGACTGAGAAATGCGACATATACAGCTACGGGGTGGTACTTCTGGAACTGCTGACAGGGAAAACTCCAGTGCAGCCACTGGAGCAAGGTGGCGATCTGGTAACGTGGGTGAGGAACTACATTCACTCGCATTCATTGTCACCTGGAATGTTAGATTCCAGGATTGATTTGCAAGACGAAGGAAACAGTGCTGTCGTCTCTCACATGACAACGGTCATGAAAATCGCCTTGCTCTGCACAAACATGTCGCCTTTCGACAGACCAACGATGAGGGAGGTTGTTCTGATGCTAATCGAGTCGAGTATGCGAGAGGGAATCAATCACGAACCTGATCCCTGCACCAGCCCCGATGCTAGCTCGAGCGATGAACTGATTGTACGCGTAGAGGTATAGCACTGGTTATTTTTGTACAAGAAAGTGTATTACAAATGTTGGAATGCCTTGAGAAAAGGTTATAAGAAGAGTTTTATATTAACACCCTAATCTTTAATCCCCTCTGGACCATATCTGAACTAGTTCTAAAATCATGTACTTCACTCAAATTAGTATATTATGGCCAGCCTTTAATTAGCACACATTGTGTTAATGAACCACCATTTGTCATTTATTGTATTGCTTTGTCGATTGCCATCCGTTATTAACTAAAACATATCGAATCAACTTCTCTCGAGAGCCTATACTTCAACACCGCATGTCTCCATTATATTTCGAGATTGCATCATCTATTCGTATGATATTATACACACTGAAGCACATTTTTATGTCAGAAGAACGATACACTGATTTAACCCTTGTTGTTATAACATCATCATCATTCACACAAATGCACAAATTTAGCTTTCAACGTCAACTGCCTGCCTCGACGACTAGAGGATGACAAACAGCTAGCGGCAGCATGCCAGTGAGTGGTGATTATAGTATTCAGACGCCTTTCTGAGGCAGTGTTTCGAAGGCAGAGACTGTGTTCTCAAACTTGACGCGATGGAGAGGGGCTCCACTTTGCTTGATGGCGCAGGCTGTCTTGTCCTCGAGTGGGCAGCGAGCTTTTAGCATCGAGAAGACGTGATTATTCAACCTTCTTGCTTTCTTCATTGCCTCTAGCAGACTATCCCATCCCTGTGATTGAACAAGGCAGTCACAAACACAATCTTTGCAGTTAGAAAAAGGCCGTGTTTGGTTTAGCTAAAAAGTTATCAAAATTCAATAGCCCAGCTTCTGTACCTGGAGTAGATGAGGATTCTTGTGCGTTTGGGATAGCGATCCGGCTTCCACCTCAGCAACATTTAGGACTTGATAGGAGAAATCAAACAGCTCAAAGTGAAGTTGTTGTCCAAGCAAGTAAATGATAGTACAACCACCCCAAGCAACGGAATCACCCATTATGTCATGGTTACCAGAAACGGATTCCTCCAGATATCCCTGAAAAAGACCAAACAGAATCAGAATGCAAGAAAATGATAAGGTAGTGCAGAAATTCGCAAACATGGTAAGTGAGGAAGCGAAGTTATACTATTTGAAGGCCGCTATATATTCGGTAGAAATCCTTGGACGTTGTTATGTCAATGAACCCTGTCTTGGGCGCAGTACTCCACTTTGTGCAGAATTTGTCCAGTGCTGCACTGGTAAATGCAAGGGCATACTCCAGCACACTTCCACTGTTTATATTGGCTTTGTACAGAAGGTCTGCAACAATATGAAGATGGAATGAAGACCGCATATATAGCGTATGACAGGAGAGATGTCAATGGAAGATAGACATTGATTAATCACCTGCAGCCTCGGCCTGTTTGGACATGGTATAGAAAGGTGTTGGATTTGGACACCCAGGGTTGGAGGCAATTGCAGTAGTGGCTGATTTGAAGAGGTGAACAATAGGACTATCTCCCCCACCACTTTGTGAATGTAATATCTGTCCATCGGTACCAGGAACCAGGCCTAGCCAAGGAGCTGTTTGCATGAAATGCATGGTGTCCACTTCCCTCTGTTTGAAAATAGTAATGACAGCTCTTTTAGCTAGATACTCCATTTCAACTCATGGAAAAGAACATCATCTAGATGCAAACGTCTTCCGCTGGTTGCAGAACAAGTATCCCATTCTCTTATTAAGCTTAGATTGATTAACATCTCCCAGTTTATTTATCACATTAAGGAAAAGTGATAGTTCAAAATGATACGACTGGTCAACCCAACTAACTTTTTCAATCAAGAAACAAACTAGAGATTAGACTTTAGAGTATAGAGCATTGATGACAAGCACAAAGTTTTGAAACCCCAATTAATAGTGCCAGAATTATTTTGAATGTTTCAACGCAATGATAGAAATGATGCGCTGAGGTTTTGCAAGAAAAAGACTGAAGCATTTCAGTACGGGATATTGATTGACGTTGACCAAGTAAACGGAAGAAGAAACAGAAACAGAAGCAGAAGAAAGGAGACTGACCAACACAATGTCAAGAAGCCCCATCAAATATAGTACACTTCCAATCTCCTTAATCCCTCGGAGAACTTCAGCTTTGAGCTCTGACTTTGTTCCCCATGTAAGGTTTTCTTTAACAAGCCTCATACAACCTGAGAAACAGAAGCGCGTGCACTAAAGTTTGAATTGAATGGACTTGTAGATTACATGGCGCCCAAAGATTAAAGAGGGATATAACATAAACCAAAGGAGGCATATTCTAACACAGGAAAGAAGCATCACATAGGGAAGATGACGATTAACATCTAGGAGTATTGATGCAAAGGTTCTGGAGGTACATGACTCAAATAAAAATTTAAAAAGAGAAGAGTTGAATGAGTGGAGAGAGAGAGTCTCAGGAGACAACTATAACCCCTCATCATCTGTTGGTGTTCTCATCTACATTGACCCTGAAGAGATTTAGAACTTTAACCAAACCAAGAAACAAGACAATTTTAAAGATGAGAATATCGGCTCTCACCTGTGACACCACCATCAAAAGGAAGCAACCCAATGGATTTGGGCAATGCATCTTGCAATCCCATAATCATTGGTTCCAATGCAGTTAACTGGAATATTCAACGCTTAAATTATGATGAGGAATGGGGAAGCAAAAGAAGTTTCTAAAAGAAACAAAGAAAGAAAAGATACTATGTGGCTGCTATCAAACTTTTAACAAATAGTACCAATAAGGTGCTAGGAAGGCATTGAGTACCTTGTTCGATATATGATCTAGAAGAGCTCGAATAAGCCAAGGCAAAGATCTGGATCCAAGGAGTCTACCAATTGAAAAAAGATGTGGGATACCAAAGAATCCACTGTGCAAGCGTGCAAAACTTTGATGTGCAGCATTCAGCTCCTACCATGAGAACACAATGTTCATATAGACAAATGACAGTAACAAAGTAAGAACATCAATGTAGTGATGGTGATCATACACTAGATCATTACCGGGGTACCACAGTAGAAGTTAGGCTTTGCATGAGGGAGAGATGGTTTTTGAACGGAAAGGTGAGGAACTCTTGATGACCTGACAAAACGTTGAGTGGTATTGCAAAGGACAAAGTTTGGAAAGAAATCGCTCTGCATCTCTGACCAAATCTGATATACAAAAAAGCAAATTGTCAAGAGGTAAAACTAGCGACATTACTACATTACCAGCGGTATGAGTTTAGATTGAGCATTACGAGTGGAACTTTATGGAAGCAAAGTGTGAAATATTGATGGTTGAGCAATCATTTTTACACCCAGTGGTAATATTTTTAGAAAAGTATATATGAGACAATTTAAGATTTTACAACAAGACCCGAGAACGTGCAGGCATTAGCATTGCAAAATGCAAAGAACAGATACGTTTACATGGAGTAGAACAGCTTAAACGCCTGTTGCAAAGCCAAAAATTTGGAATCCAGCCAAGAAAACAAAGTTCCTCATAACTGGCAGAGTTAAATCCTTCCACTAAGAAGGACCAGTATTAGTTTTTTCCTACATGTAGTATGGCGGATTAACAACAATATAGAATAAAAGTTGGGACTAAAAAAAACTTAGTGATATACTGCTAGACCATTATTACTAATCTATCGTTGACGTAGCTCAATGCACAAAGAATAAGGTAGTCAGCTCATAGAATAGGAGTTACAGCTTAACTTGTTGGTTAACGCCAAAAGTTGTTTCTTATACAGAAAATGAAGGACAAGAAAGCTATTATTATATGATTTCATACTGGTGCATCTAACAATTGTAACATCTACTGATCTTTTTTCCTTTGGGTCACTGGCAGGGCTGTATGCTCTATCATCCACTCCCATGGGCTGGAAAAGTATTCACAGGGGTTGAGATAGCCTCAGACGTCTGCTCCTGGGTACCCCGTCATAACAAAAATTATGTACTAATATTATTTTCTTGTTTATAGAACATCAGAACAAGGTTTTTTTTTCGTTTGACAAAGATCAGAACAAGGTTAATGTACCAATTTATAATGTTTCCTTCTCTCAGTAAAATTTGTATATCCTGTAAAGTCTATGTGCTATGGAAACTGCAACCCATGACACCTATGTTTGAAGAAATGGCATGGCTACACAATATGAGGTCTTTCAAGTTTCAACACACATAGTAGAAAGCAAAGCACACATGAAAAGACTTCATATGCAGGATATATGATACTTTATGCATGCATGAAGACTAATAGATTGAAGGGAGTTTAAAACACCTGAGAAGCAAGTCTACTGGAAAATGACACAAGAGAGACATTTTCTTGCATCTCATTCAGCATGAGGTCGAAGGAGTCTATTGAAATATCCTTGGAAAGAAGAGCATGTGCATGCTTTAAGATGTCTAAGAGTTTCTCTAGCTCCTGCAATAAGAATAACGTATTTGCATAAGAACTTATACAAGTAATTAATATATATGCAAAACTGCATCAATTTCTGCACTTAAATTTTCACTTAGTATGCACATAATTATTTATTAGCAGGTCTTGTAGCGTACAAAGAGGGAACAAAACCAACAAAGACCCGCTGCATAAGCAGATGGGCTAATAAAATCAACCATTAAACATCAGAGCATCTATATCATATTCCAAAACATCCAGTCCAGGCAATTGGAGGGGGAAAGAGACATCATCTATCAATTGCATGTACGCTTTAATCAACATAAGCTGTTGTACAATATTAGCAACAAAGAGCTAATGTACTTACCACTACTGCACATAGGTCTTGAGACTCAAAACGATCAAACAGGAACTCCAGGTTCTCTCTGAAAACTTTGTTCATCCTCTCAGCAATCAAACTTCTCAAATTAATGGTCCTCCCAAGTAACTGCACATCACATGGATAAAACAAGAGTGAAGAAGTGACAAAGCAGAATCCATATCTTTCTTTATTCATAATGGCAGTATAAAAGGATGATACAACCAAGTCTAAGGACTGGCATCCTCATGGATCAATTTGGACATTTTCCAGCACTAAACCCTTCGGTTAGCTCAGTTCTGATCATAGAAATGCCTGACATAATTAGATGGTATGGGTATAAGGCTGAGACAATATCCAGACATGATAGTACATGACTAGGTTTGGGAGCCAATTTAACCATCATTCTCCTGTGATCTTACTCAAAAATATGTGAACGTCTTCTTGAAGAAAC